ATTTAATTTATTATTTATCGAAACATTTTCTTTTTTTTCCATAAACGGGGCCTTAATTTTTTGAAAAAAAACCCAACCCACTTTTTGTACCATGAATAACACTTTTTTCTAAATTATAAATTTTTATATACAAATTATCAAAATATATATTTTTTAAAATAAACTTGATTTTTTAACAATCAAAAAAAAAATTATTATTACAAAAAGATTAAAATTGATTTTCAGGATATATTTTTTATCTAGGTAAATTAAAAATTTTAATTTATCATCTATTTAATTAATTTTTTTACATGGCCTTATAAATGAATTGCATATTTTTTCTGTTGTCTTTTAAAAAAGTGATATCATCTCATTTTAATACACATGAACAAATTTATAATCTTAATCATTCAATGATGTCTTTATTGGAGGATAAGAAACGTAAAGATAATGATGTAGAAATTCAAATAAGATCTAATAAAAGATTAAGAAATGAGAATAAAATTGACATGACTGCTGATATCGATAAAGGTAAGTTAAACCTAGAAAGTGAAAAGTTATCGGCAAAGGAGTTACAAATCGTTGCATCTACTAATGAAGAATTGGAACAATGTAAAACTATAAAACGCGTTAGTATGTATGATAGTGCTGTAAAGCCACTAACTAATAATTATAACAGCCTTATGGATGCTTATTGCATTGAAACAACAAGTTTTGGGTCTACAGAACCTTTAGATTTGAGCTGCAAGTCTAAAAATAATCTTGCTTCTTCACTTTCAAATGCACGATCATTAGGTGGTGCCGATCTTTACAATTTCATCAGGACAGATGATATGGATAAAAAAGTAGATTCTAGCTTTCCCGAGGCTTTAAAAAATACTATAAATACTAATGTCAATAAATTTCAGAATACTGGCGTTGATACAAACACAAGCGAGGTACTTAAATGTACTTCTATGATGTCTTGTTTTGATTGTGAACATTCATTTTTTGCACCACATTGCAGTACAATTTATTGTGTCGAACAAGAACTTTCAAAGTTATTTGATAAGCTTGAAAAAAAGTTTTTTAATTTAGTACAAGCTAGAAATTTACCTGAATTCAATCAGATTTGCTTTTTAGACGCTAGAAATATGCCAGATAATGATATTTTTTGTTTAAGAAAAATTAGATTATCTTACTACAATAAATTAAATTATACGAAAAGAAAAATTGAAAACTGTATTACAATAATTTCAGAACAACTAAAATATCAACAAATACCAATGCATCGTTATAATTTAATAGGAAAAGTTATAAATTTTACTATTCAAGTTTTTGCCTTTATTAATGATTTTAACTTTTATTTCAACAAAAAGCTCTTTAACTTTTCTAATGTTAGCAATAGGCTAAGATATCAACAATATAAATTTACAACATTTTTTTCAGATTCAAGTTTGAAAGAAATGATTACTTTAGTCGAAAAATTACTCTGTCAAGACAGCCATTTTGATCATGTTAAAGGAGCCGACTTAAAAAAAAATCTTGAAAGTTTAGGCACTCATATTGTATATATTATTGAACATTTAAAATTCTATATTCATGATCTAAATGAGTATAAAAAAATCTTCATGAATTTCTTTTAAAATAAAATTTGTAATATTAAAAGCTTTTTTTCAGGTAATTCTATATAAGCAAAAATTTCTTGAGTATAGTCTATTGATTAATATCTGTTTTTGTCTCTAAAAAAATATAACTATTGTCGTTTAATAAGCTAAAAAGGGTTCTTTGTATTTTATAACTTCTAATATACGTTTTTTATAAAATATTAAATAAACTTAATGTATAACTTTCGTTATATACAGCCATATTTGTTTAAAGCATGGCTGTATATTGTTTTTGAAACATTTTTAAATTAATAAAAACAGAATTTGAATTTTTAAACAAAATCATTATTTAGTATTAACTATTACAAACTATAAGTTTTATTAACATGCACATTCAGTTTTTAGTTGATAAGGTATAATAAAACACGACGATGTAAAATATTTTAACAGATTGACAAAACTTTTTCATTTCCGAGAAATCTTCCCTGTTTAGGGGTACCAATCTACTACTCTTCTAATATTAGTATTTTTAAATAATTGTTTTTATTTCTCAAATAAATAAATTTCCTTTTATAATCACTCATCTTTTTCTTTTTTTATTCTCCTTTAAAATTTTTTTTTATATTTTAAAAAATTTATTAATAATAAAATTTCGAAAAATTTTAGAAATTTTAAAAACATAGATGTCACAAAATAACTGTGATTAATTTGGGTTTTCAATGCATTAGTTTGTAATAACCTCCTAAGACAAAAAATAAAATTAAAAAATTTTATTATGAAAAAAGGAAATAAAAATGAAAAGGATTAAATTTTATGGAAGAATCCTTGGTGGAAGTCCTAACATATCAAATAAGAGATTAATACATTGACTTGGGTATGGAATAAATAATATTAATTAAAGTATTATTGAAACTTATTTTAAAACTGGGAAATATTCCATCAGATCATGTCAATAATTTAAAAAATATTTAAGAATATATTAAAAAATATGTTGATTATTTAATTAATAAGCTGTATTTTTAAATTTCAAAACATAAATAATACCCCTACAGATTTAAAAATTGGCTTAAATAAAATTATAACTAACAAAAGATAGGCTTGTCACATACATTAGAAGTTCAAAAAATTAAATGTTAAATTTAAATAACGTTTTGTTAATATAATTTGTTCATTTAGTTGTTTCTTGCTCTATGTTTTAAAAAATCAAATAATGTTATATAAATTTATTACAATCTTTTTCTTAACAGTAAATATTTAAAATATTAATTTATATAAAAGGAGTAAGTTTACATTATACTTTTTGTTCCAAATTAGAATTAAAATATTTTTTCATTTTTATTCCCCTGTAATTTTGGAATGAAACAAACACTTGAACAGTTAAATTCTACTGTATTCACAACAAATGACATTCCTTTACCTGTTGAAGATGATGAAGACATAGCCTATTACAATCCATATACAAAATTTGTATTCCAAACCGGTAATGGTATTCCTGCTACAACTAGAAAATACATCTCTTTTCGAGGATGTTTGTATTTGACAAATTATAGGTTAATTTATAGGCCCGACCATGTGACTGAAAGTTTTAGTTCGTTTTCCGTTCCCATTTCTAAATTGTTTTTTCAAGAACAAGAAAATAAAATCGATTTTATAGTAGAAAATAATTTTATGGCCTCTATATTTTTATCATTTGAAGATTCTGACTCAATGGTTTTTTATAACTGTTTAAGAGAAATGTTAAAGAGTGTACTTTTCAAGCCTATATGTATAGAAGAAGAAACAGAATTAAATGAAGAACCCCCTTTATATTCTGAATTATATGAATAAAGTGTAAATAAAATGTTTTATCTCTTATTAAGCTTATGTCAGGTGTTGCATACAATTATATCATTTATTTTTTGATTTTATAATTAAAACTTGATAAATTATATTTATTTTTAAGTTATTATACAATTTTAACAAATGTTAAGACCAAACTACTTTAAAAAAATATTATCATTTGTTTGTTATCAAATAATAAATCAAAATGTGCTAACTGACGTATGGAAAAAGTTTAAAATTAAATATTATGGTAATTATTGAATAGTTTGTCAGTAAGAAGATTTGTTTGTAATGTTCTGTCAAATAGATCAGATTTAATGTATTTGACAGAAACATTTTTAAATAATTTTTATAAATTAAACCCATGTTTTTATCAAACAAGCATTTTGGTAAATGTTCAACTTAAAATCATCATGTTCATTTCTTGTAAAATTTTCGTAAAGCATGTTAATAAAAAATTGTAATTTAATGACAACCTGCAGTACTTCTAAACTCTAAAATTATCAAGCTTAAATTAACAGATGAAACAAGTAAGTAAAACAAATTCAATTTAAAAATTTTAACTTGGATAAAACCATTAAACCGAATTAAATAAATCAATTGACGAATACAAACATTTTTTCTTCCTTAAAGCATTTTCTTTTTTAAAAGGTTTTGACAATAAATGGCAATTTATTTAAAATTTTAACATAGTTGAGCCACCTATATTCATTTACTAAATTTTTAATTAAAAAAATAGAATAAAATTTAAATAACTCAACTGTGTTATTATATTTTGAAATTTTTCGTGATAAATAATTGATCTAATATAATTTTAATACGGTTTTACTGACTATAAACCAAAGTAATAATAAAATATTTTTACAAAGATAAACATTTAAATTTTATTTAAAATATTTTTCCATCGCTTTTTCGACAATTTTTTCAATATCATTTGCATCATCAACCTTTATTCCAATCCACCCAGCTCTATTTGCGTCATTAACATTTTTTAAATTGTCATCAAAAAATAAAATTATCTTATTCCTATTTTTATTTACTACATGATTTACAAAATTATATGCTTCTGGCATTGGTTTACATATAACCTCTTTATTAGGCAAATATCCAACACAAATTAATGTATCAATATATGGACTTATGCCTAATACATTCAATACATATTCTGATTGTTTACTATTAGAATTTGAAAAACAAAAAATGCGCACACGGCCTGGTTCGTCCAGCACAGAAATCGATATTTTTTTTAGTAAATTTACAGTAGCAGAATAATCAGTAAAATGGGAATGTATCTTTCCACAAATATTATCAATACCTTTAATTAATTCATTGTTGATTTTAAAGTTTGTTAAAAATCCTTTATAATTTGTTCCATATGTTTTTGTATATTCATTACTTAATTTAAAATATTCATCAAATGATATTTTAAGATCTTTATTTAAATAGTTATAACCTGCCATTCTTCTTGCAGATACCAGGTCATGATTTTCTTTGTAAAGTGTGTCGTCAATATCAAAAATGATACACTTATCTTCTTTATCATATATAGATGTATTTATGCTTTTTATATTATCTGTGGTTTTTA